CACACAGATTTCACTGACCACTGACAGACCTGGACTGCAGGCCTTACACATATGGTAAATCTTTCATTCACATAACCTGCCAGGACATACATTTGATACCGGAACATACAATGTATTCTCCCAAACTTAATCAAAATTGTATTAACAATAATTAATTTTTGGGAAAATGGACATTTGTTCTGACAAGCTATCAGAGTCATACAAAAAAACACACAAACCAAAGCAATTTTTTTACAACATAAACGTAACAAATCAAATCAAACAGGTCCTAATAGCATTAAGACAAAATGTCTTACCCGTCATTTTCTTAATTTTTACACACGCATTCAAAACACACAAAATCACTCTTCCTATAAGCAGTAAAACAAAATGCTGAAACCAAGCAGATCAATAAAAGAAACACGAATATTTCAATTGCAACAATGCAGCAATTTTTAGTACATGAATGAAAAGATATTTTTTTATATATATAAGTGATGCTGGGCACCTCCCACTTTCACCCATCCTGTGGATACAGAGAACTCCATGACTTCATCATTTATCCACAGCAGTAAAGTAAAATGTGCACCACCTGAGATAAACTTTGTGAGCAAATAAACGGGCATCAACATGGCCCCCAATTCTTTATCAAATGGACATAGCTACACACAGCACACATAGAAACCGACAGTGTAATCACACCCTCTATTCTAGTTCGGTAAACATCCTTTCAAAAGTTTATAACAAGCAGTCACTACTATACTGTATACAGTCAAATGGATCAAAGACTCACTCAAAAAAAATCATAGTAATATTGCAAACAAGTCAGAAGAGCAAAAAAGAATCAGTTCAGAAAGAATTTACATTATCAAGTTGTATACTTGAAAACATGACGGAATATTCCAGACAACATAATAAATGACTGTACATACGGTACATATATCTGATTAAATGTACAGAACACAATCGCTGCATCATCCACAGCAAGATTTTACCCCTTTCTTTCACACCTTGAATTGTGCTGTGAGAGGAGGTCGAACACAGTGGCTGTACACAGGAATAGGCAACAAAACAACAATTTTTTATTATCACCTGTGTCTGATTCTAACCGTGTTTCCGACAAACTAGGTGAAACAGCTTTTCTTGTCTCAAATCATATAAATCACAACTGTTGATTACCATTGGTGAAGCTATAATATGTAAAAAGAACTAGTCTTACATTTTTTAAAGCAATTTTGGTAGATAATAAAGAACAAATTACGTATTTTCCACTTTTCTGAAAATAAATGTTCACACACACATACATTGTTAGCATCAGACATCAACAATATGCATGTGTGCCCTCATCTCCCGAACAGCACATGATTCACTTGGAATGAGCAATTTTTATATGCCAACCAAAGCAAGTCTTACACCTCATCACTCAAGCACTACTAGTACAACCCACACAATAGAGTAATGATTAAGATGATTGTTGTACGTTTTTGATTTGAAAACCTAAGATTGTCAGACCAACAAGTCCGAGTAACACAAAAGTTATTTGTAACACCAAGAGCATTTCCCATGGACATCCAACACCTTTTTTCTTCTGCACTCGTTATTCCTGGCTGCAAACATCAGTGGCCTAGGTCCTCTGTGACAACAGTATCTCTGTCCACCTATACAAAAGCAAGTGGACAGAAACTAAGAGATTTACCCTACACACAAAAAAAATGAAATTCTCTGCCATCAACTGCACTGGCCATAACATTATAAAGTCTGTATCACAAGCTTGGTTGTTTTTCCCACATCTCCCGCATAAACCCATCATCCGACCTGTCATTCTTTTGCCTCCCTGTCCTTGCTCTTCTTGTGCTTGTGCTTCTTCTTCTTGTGTTTCTTCTTCTCCTTACTTTTTTCCTTGTGCTTATGCTTCTTTCTTGCTTTCTTTGCCTTCCCTCCTTCATCATCTCCTTTCTCTGAACTGTCCTCCTTCTCATCCCCCTCCTCTTCCTCCTCAGACTTCTTCCTTTTCTTCCTATCTGGACTGGAAGCTCCAGAATTCTGTGAGGTACCGTCATCAGGTTCATTGTCTGAGCCTGACTCTGGAGCCAGGTCTTCATAGTCTGGCACAAACTCAGACTCATCCATAACAGAGAGTTTCCTATGATCCACGGCACTTTTAGCCTTGGTCTTCTCCTCAATCTTGTGTCTGAGGTCCTTTGAGGATTTAACGTTTGAGTCAGTCGTGCTGTCAAGTTGTGACTCTTTGTTTTGCCGCCTCTCTCGTGGCTCTGGAGACCTGTCCCGATGCCGGTCTTTACTAGAATCTTTCCTTGACTCATACTTGCCAGACTTCTCACTGGCACTTCCCCTAGTACGGTCCTGTTTGCCAGCTCGCTTCTCCTTCTCCTTATTCTTATTACTTTTGCTACCAACGTGCAGTTCTCTCTCAAAGGACCTGGAGCGAACGACAGATCGTTGATCTTCTTCATACTCATTTTGATGATAACGATTATGCCGCGAGTCCTCCGTTCTGCTAGATGATGTCTGTTTCCTGTCACTCGAGTCCCTCTTGTGTCGTTCAGGCTCACCTTTTGACTTGTCTGCATCAGCATTGACTTTATCAGCTTTCACTGTGATCTGTAGATCCAGTGTCTTCTTATCTCGGCTCTCCTTTTTCCCCTCCATGAACACACGGCGATGAGCCTTGGTCACAGGCGACTTGGAACGTCCTTCCGAAGCCTTCCGGGACGGTGACAGCGACGGTGACTTGGATGACGTGGACACGTGGCCCGCGGTTACAACAGCATTCTTCATGGGCTTTTGGGTAAGGAACTTTTCAGCTTTGTCTACTACAGACCTGTGAAGATAACAAATAAAGACCAATCTGAGTTTTCAACAATGAAGACGAAAACCTTCAACAAGAATAGAAATTCTTTTGGTTGTAGTGAGAAAGGGGTCGCTTAGTTTAGTAAGAGTTTTACAGCGCTCGCAACTGCATAAAAAAGGGGTAGTATCATCGCATTTATAAAGGTCGTATAACGACTCATTTTTTAGCAGGATAAAAAAAACCTCCGACATACAAATAAAAACAAACCCAAAATAAAACTATAACCGAACCCATCCCCCCAAAAAACAACAAACCACCCACCCGCAGAGAACAAGGCAAGTACGCAATAGTTCTAAGAAAAAACCCTGTCTGTGATATATTTAAAATTAAGTAACTACAACTGAATTGCCAATACATTGGTTTACACAGACATCAGTAAATCAACAATACTTTGAAAAAGGACGGGCAAGAATGGGCAAAACAAGAAAACTATGCAGCTTAAATAGCAAAGCTGCCATGAAGAAGCAACAACAAGAAAGAGAGAAGCGGGGTTCATTTTTGTTATGAATAACTATGGCATGGGTCAATTGACCCACTCGGCCAAAATCAAAGGGTCAATCTTGTGAGTGATGGGTCAAGTTTGTAGGCAACATGCATGGTGAGTTGTTCTCGGTTGTTTTTGTATTAGTTAAAGAGTGTTTTACGGAGAAATAGTGGATTAATGACTTACCAACAATGTCTGCTTACGGTGATGCTCAAAATTCCCACCCCTGCCCTCCTTTGACTAGCAATGACAATGAAAAATTAAATTTTTATCCAAATTGCTTAAATGAAAGTAAAGTAAATTCTAAGAACTACTGTTTTTAAATTTTTAAAATCCATTGATAAATTTAAACGTTATTGGGATTTTGGGGGACTTTGATAAAGGCAAATATCGCCAAAAAGTAGTTTAATGACCTTGATATATTTTGAGGAAAAACTGTTCATAAGTCAGTAATGAATTGGAGTATATGAATGAAACTTAGCATCTTCATGTGATTTTTAGTGCAGAATCTAGTTCTGCTATCACTTTTTCGGTGTCTTTATTACTTTGGATCTTAAAGACTAATATTTGCCTGAAATTTGTTGACATGTGAGACATCGTTTTACTGCGACCAATCATCCCTTCTAAAATTCAGTAAAGCGGTATTGGGAAAACTCGCAATGAAGTCATCTGTGACCAATTTAGTTATTGGCAGCCAATCACAGGCCGCCTAGCGATCACGCACCTCTCGCATGCCGGCAACTGGCATTTTGAATCCGTGATCTAGTTTCCAGCTCCAGTGTTTTATCAATGGATGTGTGGTAATTTACAGTTGGTACGAAAAATGTACTACACGCAGAGATCTGAAACTTAACAGCAATAAAGAAGACATGTGGGGCGCCTGTGTGAACCCATTGACCCAATGCATGTGCAATCAACGGGTCATTTTTTGGCGCGGGGCGCGTGTCAGAAACGAACCATGGAGAAGTCATGACTTTTTAACAACACTTGAAATTCAAACCCACTTTAAAAGCTACAACACAACCCAAAGTCTAAAAACTCATTAAACTAGTGTAAAAACAAGAATACAAAGAAAAAAAGACAAATGCTCCAACAGAAATCCATAACCTCGGCAAGAATGTAAACCCCCCCCCCCCCAAAAATCAGTAAAAGCGTATCAGCCGGTTATTGATCTATGACAAATGAAAGAACATAAAGAGAAAGAAAATGAAAAGAGAAAAAACAAAACATTAAGAAAAAATAGGGAAGACTTGATTGACCGTCTATTTATTTCCCTCCATAGAATATGCCAGAAAGTTGGCCACTTGACCGTGGGGACGAGCAGACATCTGCAGTGGCATGTCGGCATAACATACCTGGGTAGCATCATTTTAGAGGGCGGCCCAGTCTTGTCCTTGCTGTGGTGCTGCTCGATAGTGTCCAGTAAGTCAAAGTCCTCCCTCTCCCACTTGGACAGCTCTGGCAGCTCCGGCACCAGCTCCTCCTTCACATCCTTTACTGTGCTGTCCACTGTAGCGTCTGTTACCATCTCTTTCTCTGGGACTGGCGCAGGAGGTGCCAGTGACACTGAGGGGCCCACTTGACCACCGGCGCTGGCTTCATTTTTCACACCGGAGCTGACCTCAGGCACCGTTGTTGTTGACAGAGACTGGTCTCCACTTCCCCCATCGCCCGCTGTGGGTTTTTCAACCTCCGTTTTCACCTCGGCAACAATCCCAGTATCAGCTGATGCCTTCAGTTTTTTAGCTGGGCTTCCGCGTAGTAATTTGTCTTCACCATCTTCAGAGGTACAGTTCTCAGACTTATAATCAACCAGCCTCTTCAATTTCTTTTTTTTTAAACCCTGTTTTGCATCAACTTCAGATGAGCCAAAGGTAAGTTTTTTCTTTTTCGTCTTTTTCCCTTTCTTCCCAGCTGTAGTACCATCATCTGTTGCAGCAGCTTTTACTTTAGACTTCTTAACCACGTTTCCATCAGCCTTTTTAACAGTTATAGCTTTCTTGCCCTTCGCAACAGAATCCCCTGTGACATTCTGTGCTCGGGCATCAGCCGCTGTGCTGTCCAGCTTGACTGTGGAACTCCCATCGGTCACCTCCTTTTTAGAAACATCACCTGTTTTAGATGGCACAGAGCCTGCCCTAGCAGTTGTCTGTTCGACCTTTTCACTCACTGCAGGCGAGTCAAACTCTTTATCACTGATGGGACTAGTCTTTGACAGAATGCTGTCTTTTTTACTAGACTTATCTTTTTCTCCTTTGTCCATCTCAGTTTCCGATCTTTTCTTGGTCTTTTTATTCTCTTTATCTTCTTTCTTCCTCTCTGTCCTTTTCTTGTCTTTGCCTTTCAATCTATCCTTATCTTCCTCCTTTGACTTCTTTGGAGGGCTTTTCTTTCTGTCATTCACCCCTCTATCTTTGGTGCGACCTGTATCTCTCTCTTTATCCTTTTGACTATCCTTATCCCGCGGAGCGTCGCGGCCTTTGCTCCGTTCACTCTCTTTGTTACGATTACCATCCCTCCCCTTCTCTCGATTACTCTCAGGTCTGTCACGGGTGGGGTCTCTGCGATACCTGTCCTCTCTTTCCCTCTCTCCTCGTCTGTCCCGGTCCCGATCAAGAGGCCTTTCTCTTTGATCTCTCTCCCAAGGTCTCTCTCTGTCAGTCTTGTCTTTATTCAAGTTATCATCTCTGCGGTCTTTAGGGGGATAATTATCTTCCCTGCGATCTCTTTGCACATAGTTGTTCTCCCTGCGATCCCGAGGTGCATAGTTATCCTCCCTGCGCTCTCTAGGATAGTTGCCGTCTCTGCGATCCCTGGGCGGATAGTTTTCATTTCTGTGGTCACTGGGCCCATAATTGTCTTGTCTGCGATCTCGCTGAGGGTATGCTCCAGGGGGAGTAAACGAGCGTGGCCGTTGAGAGGGTGACATGGGCACAGTTGTATCCCATGGTGGGCGCTGCTGCTCTGAGGCAGAGGGCACTGGGTGCACAGAAGGTGGTTGGTGTGGGAACATGTTATCCCCGATGGCGGGTGGCATTATGCCCCCTGTTCCTGCACCACCTTGACTCTGAGCCCAAGCTTGAGCCTGTGGCCCAAACTGGGAGTAAAGGTTTCGCACAAACTCCTGATAGCCTGCAGGATTGTATTTAAAGTACTCCTCAGGTGGGGGGATACCCATACCTGGGAAATAGGGTACGGGGGGCAGATTGGGTACGGGGCCAGCACCCGAAGACTGAGGGTGAGCTGGGGGTTGGGCAGGTGTTCCTCGCGGTGGGCTAGCTGGACCACGGAAGCGATCTTGATTGGGCCTGTCAAAACTCCCTCTAAAGCCACCCCGGCCCCTCCCTCTAAAGCCACCACCACGACCGCGCTGGAATGGAGGCGGTGACTGTCGTCGTGGAGGCAAGGGAGACAAAGGCCTCTTCTTGTATGGGCTGGGTGACCTCCGTGATGGCGATTTGAGGGGTGAGAGCGACCTGCGAGAGGGGAAAGGTGATCTTGAGCGTGGCCGAGGGCTCCACTTTTTGTCCCGAGGGCTTCGTGATCTCGAGCGGTACGGGGACTTAGGCCGTGGTGAGAAAGACTTCGAGCGCCTGCGTGGGGAAAAGGAGTTTCTGCGTCCTGGAGAGCGTAGCGGACTACGCCTCGGTGACCTTTGTCTTGAGTAGGATCTAGACCTAGGCCTCTTAGCCTTCGACCAAGATTTAGAGCGTGATCGTGAATAGCGGGCGAAGGACTTGGAACGGGTGCGTGACCGACGTGGAAGTGGTGACTTCGATGACCTGCGCAGAGGTGACTTGGATGACCTCAGAAGTGATGAACGAGAGGATCTGCGTACTGGAGATAGAGATGACCGCCTCAAAGGAGATTTGGACGACCTCCTCAAACCTAACGGTGATTTGGAGGATCTTCTGAGAGGGGACTTTGTCGCTCTACGCAAAGGCGACTTTGAAGAACGCCTGAGAGGTGATTTTGACGATCTCAGGGGGGACTTGGATGACCTTCTCAAGGGAGATTTTGACATCCGGCGTAGAGGGGATTTTGAGGAGCGCCTAAAGGGCGACTTGGACGTCCGAATGGGAGATTTTGATGACCTGCGAAGAGGAGACTTTGATGATCTCCTCATGGATGAAAGTGAGGATCTCCTCAATGGGGATTTTGACGAACGCCTCAGCGGGGACAGGGGTGACTTAGATCTCCTAAGGGGTGGTAATGGTGACCGTGTTCTGGACAAAGGCCTTGACTGTCTTGGACCTGAGTGAGATCTGGAGCGTGACTTTGAAAACCTTCTTGGGGAGCGTGTACGAGAGCGCTGTGACGATGTCCTAGGGGGGCCGTAAGAACGGGATCGAGACCTTTGGGACGAGCGCTGACGAGACCTGGAGTGTGGAGAACCCTTTGAGGGAGAGAATGACCGAGAGCGCCGCTTTGCTGGAGACCTGCTGGGCGTCCTACTGGGTCGTCTGTGCCATGATCCAGACCGAGACCTAGTGCGGCTGAAAACAGAAAAATAGAAAAACTGATTCTATTGTCTTTGTCATAAATAAATAATTTAATAGGTGGGGCACTTGCGTAGCAAAAGGGAAGAAAGATGAAAGAAAAAGAGGCTAATCACAAAGTAATTATCATATATGAACATCTAGTAGATTTTAAGAGTGCATCTCCTGCTAGTGAGCAGTAAGTCTATTTATTAGTGCCAACCCAACCTATAAGTCTCAGGGATTTGCAAGCTTTCATAAAGCAGAAGAGACGTGACTTAACATTATCAATGTTACCCAAAAGCAGAAAACCCAACAGACAGAAATAAATCAATGTAAAGACTCTCCCCAAAGTGAATCTAAATACAGTCGACTCCACTTGCGTCGAATTTGCTTAGTTGCTCTTTGGTTTAGTTAATCTTCTAACAGTTAAGTTGTGCTGCAGATGAGTTGATCTTTTTTTCACTCCCCTGACGACATCAACTCTTCCGTAGTCAACTGTATCAATCAAATATAGCTGCAAAAACTTGTATATTAAAATGTGCCCTTCGTAACAAAATTGATGACACTTTCCTTTAACAGGAAAATTGTTGCAATATCAGCATTGACAGAGCAGATTTCCAATTCAGGTAAGAAAACCTAGGATATATTTCACATAAGATAAAAACTGTTTGGGAGACGTTCGGAGAGACGGGAAGGACAAAACAACAAACTATAAAGTACCTCCTGTGCCTCTCTGTGCTCCGGCTGCGACGGCTGGTCAAGTCTGCGAATGAATCAAAGATATCAACTGGTTTCTTAGGTGATCTAGAAGCTTCCTTGATTATTTGCTGAGCCTCATAGAACTCTGCCTCAGATAGCGGGGCCTTTTGCCCTGGCCCCTGGGGCTGTACAGTCGGGGGCACACCCGGTGCTGGGAGACCTGGTGGTCCAAACAGCGGGTTTGGGAAACCTCTTGGAAATCCAGGGAGAGCTGGAGAAATAAAGAATAAACCGATGTCTAAACACTTTGGCGGATTGATTGTAAGAGAATGGGATACAGCATCCTAGCAGAGAAAGACACTAAACAAAGAATGTTTAGACAAAGCCCAAAGAGTTGCATTCCTAATATTCATTTTAAAAAAGATGACAAGTAAATCTTCTCAAACAAACTTGATAACATTAAAAATGAAATAAAAGTGAAGAAAAAGCCCCACAAATTTCCATCATTAAGAAAATTATTTTTCAAAGAGAAACTTGCAACTAAACCTCTGGTACATCTGACCTGTAAACAATCTGTACAGACGCCACAGTTGTCAAACTAATCTTTTGATCCGTTTGTCAACCCTATTATTTTTTTTTTTTTTACTAACAAACAGATGAAAACAACTCGAAATCTTTATAAAAGGAAGTGAAGAAAAAACTTTCATATCAAGACTGGTGCAATGTGGCCACCAGCCTCATTCTTTGTTTATTAACTCTTCATGTGCGTAGAGGATTTTAGTTCTGACCGAAGCCTCCCAGGGACTGATCCTATACAGCCTTAGGATGGGTTACAAAAGTCTATATATATAACTTTCAATCTACTAGGTCCACATCAAAACTTTTGGTATGTTTGTGTTCAGAAATGAAAGTTGCATTTATTGGTGTTCATTTTAGATGCCTTCATTGAAGAATAATAAGACTATTGAAGTAAATGGCCATTAGCAAAAAAAAATGTTGCAATATTACGTAACACTGTTCACACAAATAGGGGTGTAACTTGATAAAACTTGAACACAGAGCCAAAGTAAAAGAAGCAAAAATGTTGATATACATTCTAGGATTACATCTGTGGTGGCTGTAGCTTCTTTGAAGCCCATTCTTTTGAAATACACCAAAATAATAAAATGTATCAGAACTCACATTCGGCATGAAAAGTGTAAACACAGCTAGATCTAGATTTCCATATATACACACTTTGTTATACAATAAATCAAAGGCTTACATTTATAGTTTTGTTTGAATATACATAAATATGAAAACGGTGTCTTTATGCACATTTTCAAAGTAATTTTGAGTAATTATTTGAAGTTTCCAGGTGTATAACCACATATAAAAAAGTCACATTCACATAGACATAGGCCTACATATTACGATGAACTAACCTGAATAGAGCCTCAACAAGATCCAATATCTAGATCTAGATTTATAATGTCCAAATGGAATGAAAACTTTGTCTCAGTATAATCCGAACAATAAAACTGTCACTATAATTATTTCAGGAGCAATCTCCAGCCATGATAATCTCCCTAACCAACACAAACAAATTATACACAAAAAATCAGCTGTTTGGAAACAAGCCATCAAATCTAGCAAACACGCCCGCACAAACGCTACAAAATTAAAGTACAAACAGAAAAAGACCTATTTTCGGCATTTGCGACCATAATTTCGGTTGATGTCGTGAAATATTAGTTTCGCGTGTATTTAACGAAGGCTAGTGTAGCGAGCCGGTGTTAGCGGCTCGCCGGCCAAACCCACTTCACGCCGAGCCGCTGCCACCGGCTCACCGGACATGAGTTAAAAATAATTTTTCATGCAAACAAATTTGGAGATCCAATCCCTCAGCCCTTTCCATAGTGAGTGCATGGCATGGCATCAAGTACCTGTGAAGGGTGGCGGCAGTCCAGGAGGGGGCACAGTCAGAATCGGCAGAGGGTGAGTGGGCAGACCCATATACTGGCCTGCCACTTGACCATGCAATGAGCCCGAGGATAGACTTGTGGCCACGGGAACAGAGGAGGTGTTGTCCACACCGGGCCGGGAGCCAGACAACCATGGGTTAGGACGACCAGAGGCCAGCGACTGAGGTATCAGTGGTCGAGCATCAGCCATGGGTGGGGTCTTACGACTCTGGCGTTGTTCTTCTGCTGAGGACAATCTGAGGAGGATTTGAAATTTGTTGTAAAATACATTTCTTCCAAGGATTTAAAAGAAGCCCAATTAAATGTTTTCAGAAATTGCCTTGCTTTTAATGAAAAAAATATCTATCTAGCTTAAATAGAAGTCGAGCTATTTGCTATTGAGGAAGGTGGGGAAACCTGGTTTCAGAGGTAAATACCGCCAAAATTAAGTGATTTCCTTAGCTTGAGAGTTCGTGGAAACAGAAATTTTACGTCTTTTTCTTTAATGGTCATGAAAGATGCTGAGTCCTAAAAAAAATATTTCGATAAATGCTCCCAAACCTGTGGCAAAATGCTAGTTTCTTCACGTTCCTTGTTTTGACTACCGCCTGATTTCACCACGCTGTCTCACAAATACTTCAGAACTGAGCCATTGTTTTTTTTATTCCACTAAAGAAATGTTCAAGGTTCAGATCTGCACAGATATAAAAGTAAACATGAATTCCATGGTCATACCTGATATTGCCGACATTAACACATTACACCCTAACTCGCCCGGGATCGCCCGGGAATTCCCTTACGCGCTCCACCCTGACTCGCCCGGAACTGCCCGCGCCGACCCAGCGTCTTTAGAAACGAAAGTCTCGCCTTGACGAGACTCTGGGGCCGGGATTTTGATTTGCATAGTATAGCAAAAAGTTTCTTCTTTCGTTTGATACCGAAACGAAATTTTTCGGGCCAGTAGTTTTAGTATTAGAGCTGATCGAAGTGCGATCGCGTTACCGACACTTCGAAGGTGTCTCGACTTGTTGAAAAGCGACACAATTGAGTTCGAAAACGGAAATAACGATGGATTTGAGCAACAATGAGCATGTGACAAATCAGATGGCTCAGATTTTGATGAAAACGTTGTAGGAAGAGTTTGGGGCGATTCCGATTGATCAGACGGAGAAAATCTAGAATTTAGATCTAGGGCCCGACCGCGAGGCTGAGAGTAAGAGTGACTGGTCGGACACCCCGATTGAACTAAAGTTAGAACATTTCCAACAGTTTGCGCATACATAAAGTTATATTTTTCTGAAACTACATTCAGTTTTCTTTTTAACTTTTATTTTTTCAGGATTTTTGGAATTTGTTTAGTATTTTTAAAATGTGTTTTTTAAAGGCCTGTAGTCACGGGAGGTGGGTTCTTTCCCCTTGCTTAGGATCTAGGAATGGACTTCCCGTCCAGGCCCTTAGGGTGTAATGTGTTAAGACAAATTATTTTTGCTGGTTTTTTCCCTGCTGTCAAGGGTGTTTCATTGAACTAAAACAGATTTTAAAAACTTACCCGAGTTTCTTTTTCACAAGTGTCCCATAACTAGAGAATGGAGAGAGATGACACGGTGCAAGAGAGCACACCAACCCAACAGTTGGCAGCTTAGTGACTTCCCACAGGAAAAGACAGCTTAAAAAACCTGCTTTTTTATCTATACTCAAGCAAATTCCAGATGATTTCTAAAATGATTACCCTATTTTGAAAAAAAAAAAAAAAGTTTTTATAAACGATCGTACAGGAGCACTAAGGCCTATATTACCTTTCAGGTTCTGCATGTGATGATGCAGAACCATGCAGATGACCCCTGTCCTGAGAGCGTCCTTGTGGCCGATCGTAGGTTGAAGCACCTGCTGGCCGCTGAAGGGGGTTGTCACTCAGGTTACTGTCTGCCAGCGTCTTCAGATTAGAGCTGGTATTGGAGTAGCTACTAAAGTCTTTCCTGCAAGAGTTGTTCAAAATATATTCACACATATGTATGTGCACGAAAAAAAAGATTATACAAATTAAGAAAATTAAGAGTAAATACCTCGACTTTAACTTAAACCTCAATATATCTTTCCTCACGAGCCAAGCTTTCTACTTCAATATCAGCTCTATAATAAACTAGTTTTTTAAATACCATACTCGGATCCCATAGCCAGTTCTTGCAAAATACGAAATTTCTTGCATGAGAAGCAAAAGACAAGTTCCACACCAGGCCAGTTTAGAGTACATTATCACAAAACAATTATTTTTACTTTGATGACTCCCGATGCTTCTCATGGCAGTTGGCTGAACTTTCTCTACTCTCATTGCATTCTTGCAATTTTACAGTTAAATGTCAGTACCATCTACAAGAGATGATGTTTAATTTTTGTGAGATTGTTATGTTTATTTCCTCACTTTGCTTTCTTCGTCTCCCATATTATAGAACTCATTTGTTTAGGAAATAATTTTGTCACTTATATCTGTCTTTCCTCCATTATCTGCTCCAATCAGAATCTTCTTTACTCTCCCTCAAATTTTAAAACTACTGGATAAACTGAGGCCTCCAAAAACTAAACGCAACATGTAGCATACACACTTCTACGTACCTGAAAGGTTCATTGTGTGACCTCCATGGCTTGTGGTGAGGAGGACACCGCTGGCCCTGTCGGTAGCGGTTTTGCTGCTCAGAGGAATGTCGACCTGGCCTGGACTGATAGTCTTGACCGTATGCACGAGACGGCAGGTCAGAAAGGGTTGATGGAGGGCTGCCACTGGGAGCAGAAGAAACTTCCTCCGACTTGTTCGGGGCAGCAGCACCAGAAGACAAACTGAGCTTATTGGCAGGAGCAGATATTTCCAGTGCACTGCTCTTTGGAACCGAGCTAACGGGTGAAGAAGAATCCCCACCAGCGGAGTTAGACCTGCGCCGCTTCACCTGAGCAGACAAAAGCAGTTTGCTCAACTTCAAGAAACAAAAAAGAAAGAAAAGAATGCTTATTTATCCCCACAAGAAACTCTACATTGCAATAGTAACTTAAGCATAATTTAATCATAAGTTTACATGTAAACTTCGTGTCATATGATACATTCAATCACATTGCTTGGAATACCTAGAAAACTACACAAACAGGTCATTGCTGATTGCCAAATTGTAGCCCTGTAGCCCATTGTTTTTCAGCTAGCGCCAAGATATCTGTTTCAAGTAAACCTCCATGGGACCATCCAATTATATTTGAACTGCAATCCAATGCCAATTGACAAAAAACGGTCACTTAAAGTGCAGAAAAATGTGGAATGGCAATGAGCAACAGGGAGATTATAATATAAGGAAGTAGCAGCTACCATTGACATCTTCAAACGCTGCAACAACATACCGTAGGCAGCCAACCAGATACATATCACCGGTGACATAACCAAACCTTCTGGTATCTCAAGCCAGTCACTTTAACAACATATTATTTTTATTTTTTTAAAGAGAGGGACCATAAATAAAAAATTTGCGAATGCACAAAGAACAAGCGACAGCTACCCGTTCTGACTAAATTTTCAGCTGAGGGAAATGGAAACAAGGTTGCATAACTAGCCATAAGCTGAGAACACTTTGAACATGAATTTTCCTGAGAAGGAAGAACATTTTCAAGCCCATTCCCAAACAAAATGTAAAAATCACAAGGTCTATTTACAGTTATTCACTAACCTTGGTGTAGCCTGTGTCATTGAGAAAATTGGTCACAGCCAGTCGCATTGACTTGTTGGCCACAATGCGATCAGGGGAAACATTGGTCTCCTTACAGGCAGGACACTGATGGACTTCACTCTCCAAAAGCTCTTCTCGTAAACCTGAGGAGAAACAAAACAAATACCTCTAGTGAATATAATAGCAAGTGGACATCCTTATTTCTGGGGACCTTTCATTACACACAAATAATTACAAGACAACCTGAGTAAAACCAACATCAATTAAATAAATCTACAACATGAAATAGAGCCATCTCAAAACCATGTACACAATTAAGTCATCATTGCAAGAGCTACTTACACTGGTCACAGAAACTGGTCCCACAGCAGGGAGCAATTGCCGCATCAACACACAAATCATCACAGATGTTACACAGAAGCTCCCTTGGAATTTTTCTAACCTCCGATTCTTTTGCTGTGTCTGGAGGTAGAAATGGGGGACGTTCTTTCTTGCTGTCCCTATATGCTTCCCTGCAACATCAGAAAAATAAAAATTGGTCCATTTTAAAAAAATGGAAATAATTGACATATTATGAATGAAAGCTCCACATCCAGAGTGCACGAACTCATGAACTTGTCATCAATACCAGAATCTACACATTCTCTTATTGCCACAATCTTGAAACTTGGTGTTTTCTTACTCCTTCAACCCTGACTTTGTTGCACACATTCCAGGCTGCCCACATCCCAGAATATCTTTTTAGTAATCAACAAATAAAAATTAGCAATCTGGCTCAGAAATTTGTAATAAAATATGACCATGGTTTTAAGTTCAAGGATGAATGTAATGTACACGAAGAGGTCTCAGCGGGCTCATCGTTGTCAGGGGGAAAAAAAGGAAGGGGGGTTAGTTATTATTAACTGTCAGCTTAACTCTTGCAACAAAAAAAGAAACCAACAGGACACATTCTAAACCTTTGATCCTGATCGCGCATCACTATACATCATGCCTCACATCACTGCTGATTGTTTCACACAAAGATCTGTTTTTTCATTCTCTAGCTGGCCTAAGCGGTCACCCACAAGTGCAGGAGTTTTTAAACACCTTGTAAAACTGATGTTTTCGGTACTCCTGATTTTGGTGTAACTAATGTTTTTCAATCGGCAAAGTGGCATTGAGCGACTACAAGGGCTCTGTGAACAGAGCCTGTACAAGGGCTCTGTGAACAGAGCTTGCGAAGACAGCAGACTGTCAGGTCTAGTTATTTTTCTTCCTTATCCACAGGAGGGTGGGCATGGATAAAAGTCGAACGGCAAATAAATTTTTAAAAATCGGAAACCAGGGATGTTATGATCATATTTTCCTAATATTGAAAAAAAATTAATCATAACAATTCCGCCAAATTTGTAATGATGGTCTTACACATTGTAAGCCTTAATTTTGAATGAAGAATACATTTAAAAGAGTCCCGAACTATTTAAAAGTGTGAGTAAAGAGTTAAAAAAAAAAAAAAAAATGCTCTATACGATACTTCATTCCTCATGATCATTTCCAAGAACAAACAACCATTTAAAAAAATGGGAAAGCTGTTTAAAAAAATTAAATTAATCGGTTAGTTATGAAAAGTTAGCAGATCTGAACTCTTTGACAAAACAGCTTACATATCACATAACTTTCGTCTGGGATGTTTGAATCTGGAGTAGCATTGCCTGCAGAAACAGAGGCCTACTGTAATGATGCTACTGACAAAACAGAGATCAGACACATTACACACAACAAGACATAATTTAGCCATTATCATTTTCCCACCTCCTGTATCCATAAACATTATCATAGCCATTGCTGTTTAAAGCCAAACTCTTATCTCCAAGTAGGCAATACATACTTATGTTACTAAAGCGAATGGCACGAAATATACAATTGAATATGCCCTAATGGCCACCTGTACATTTCCGCGCCCGCCCCCCCAAATTTTGAAACATTATAATGACACTTGAAAGACAGACACTATTCTTGTTGATAATTTGACCATGGGGCAACTACGATATAAGTGCAACTTACACATCTACTGTGGGCACAGCAAACTGTCCTCCACTCGTGAGAAGTGCCCCTGGATGCATGGGGTCGTCCACAATAGTGAGCATGGTGGCCGGGATGCCCGTCGTGCGCTTGTACCTCGGTTCCATGATCCTCTCCTCCTGGAAAGGGACAGTACAAATGTTTTTCATTAGACAATGCAGTAACAACTAAAGACTCAATCATCGTTTATGTTTTACACCCACATCAAAACAATCAATCAGGAGGTGACCTGCTCCATCTGAGATTGTAAGAGGCCAGCTGTGGATGGAGGAGGAAAAAGAAAAGCTCCCCAACAAAAAGGCACTGATACTCAACAAATATTCAGCCCTATACGGAAATAAATTTTTGGTCTTTGATGCGTACCACAAAGTACCTATTTATTACACACTAGAGACCCTGGTAAAAAGATGAGTATCCAGCATATGTAAACAAAAAATGAGGCCCTTTCCGCTCTTGCTATGTATGATCTGTTTGAAGGTGTACATGTTTTATCCAAGGAGATTAAAAGTAATGGAGGATGCTCTGTGGGCGGCACCGCACGCCTGATAGGAGCCCTCTCTTGCGGCGGAACCGTGGGCTACCTGCGCTGCGCGATTGCCCAATTAAGGCACTTAAATCTAAATAAGAAAGAAGGTTTTATTCCGAGGTCCTTCAGATTAGGCAAGTCAATTAGTAAAAATGCCTTGCACCTGTGTTGTATTTAAGTGTAAGAACCGATATAATGCTGCAGTGGACCGAAGTTTTCACAGTTAAGTTGTTTCCCTTAAAAAAAATTTGAATGAAAGTGTTTCTATGCCCCCAGCAACACAATTTAAATCATCAATTCATAAGAGGCTGGCCCCGGCGCTACATGCCAAGGCCAAACCCAGGCTGAAAGGGATACAACACCCCAGCAGAAAGACTGGGATACTCAATTTTTTTAAAGTATTCTTATTCATAAATATATATAATTATTATGAGTATATATATAATTATGTGTGTATGTATATACATATTATACCTTTTAATACAAGATATTGCTTTCCTTTGTGTGTGCAAATTAGATGCTACTGTAGTCTAAATGCAGATATCTAGAGGCTCCATTAGAACATGAAATCAATATTCAACAACAATAATGATGAATATTTTCTATGTTAAAGAAACACCAAACCATATCAGATGAGGGGAGAAGGTAGGGTGGGATGGATAAGAGTTTGAGTCTTGTTAGAAAGAACTATACTCGGTTTAATTCTATTGTTGTAGTCTTCACCTAAGATCCCACAATCAATAATTCCGGTTCACTTAAGATTCTGCTGTTAACAAATAAACCAAACAAAGCAACAACAAATTTTACAACACAAGAGTCATCACTAAGATAAATTATCCCCCTCTGGAGTGTAATAAGGGACTAAAAACGCTGCTCTCCATATCATACTTTACTGAAAAAAAAAAAAAACCCTTCAAAGGTTATCCACGCTCATGCATGCGATCACACCTCCAAGGGTGCTGTTATTTCTTTTTTTTTTTGGGAATATTTGAAATCATTGTGCGCTCCACTTTGTGAAAACCAGGAAACAAAATTATTGTGATCAATAATATTATTTATAGACCAAGACATACTGTTAGCAATTGGATAAAGCAAACATTGACCCTCTTTTGTGTCCGCTATTCCTTACACATAAAGTTAGTTATGGCACACGCCTAGAATCATGCAATCATATATCTTAAATTCAGTTTAAAAGTATATTTTCATCCATTTCTTATAATTATATATTTTAGCATCTTGAAAGATTATCTATTTAATTTGGTATGTTTGATAATTTTATGTTACTCGGACAAGTTTTCTTCTTATTTTACACATCTTTTTGATTTTTAAACTAGATTATAACATAAAACTCTTAAAGAATTGAACAGTCCGTATCACTCACATAATTTTTTCTCCCTGTCATTATCCGTCAGCCCGTCAGTTGATCACAATCTCTCTCTCTCTCTCTGTCTGTCAGTCTCTCACTCTCTCTCTCCCCCCCCTCTCTCTCTGCCTGTCTGTCTGTCTGTCTGACTCTCTCTCTCTTATTTAATTTTTCCCATTCTCCTTCGTCCCTTCCCAAAGCCCGTCCCTCCTCTTTCATCCCAGCCCCATCCCCTCTTCCTTGCGTGCATTCCCCCACCCCGCCCACCCCCACAACGTGGCCCAGCCCGATAAAATTCTATAAAAAGACACGCCACAGTTCGTGATTTAGCCCACACTCGCTGACCATATTTGATCCCCAACGCGGCGTACTGCTCGCGGCGCCGCGAAGAGAGAGAGGAGGCTCCATTAGTTCTAAGCTCCTTGGTTTTATCACATCAAATTCGGTCATGACAAAAAGATGTTGAACCACCGATAACTGCTTTCTAAGTACAACATCAAAGTCCCACTGCTATCATAATTCGGCATTCACATAACTTCAAGGAATAAAAAATCCAAGAAAACTTAAAATTGGCCAACTTACTGGATTGGAGTTGGGACAGTTAGTGATGTAATGGCCCTTTTGACCACATCTTTTGCACACATAGTGCTCCGCAGGGACACCGGACGGATGCTTGCCCATAAAGCTGGAAACAAAGTTTTGAAAATTTATTAGACTGATGTTCATAATAATGTAAAAATAGAAAGAACTGAAATAGCACTAAAAGGTCAATGGAATATGGTAATGACAACCTAACAAATTTGTCTCAATACTTATCAGTCAACTCTTCACATAATCTTAAATCTTTTCTGTATCATAAAGATAAAAAGACAAACATTTTAGAAACTGCTTTAAATATAGACACAATATTATTCCGCTGTGAGGAGCTTAAAAATCAACCCATTAGGAGTTCAGATTAAATCAGATATCCATTCCAGCAGATTGCCAAGTACCTATCAATATCATAAGAATACATCCTACCCACCATGGCCCACAACCAAACCAACACTATCCAGGAGCAACACTTTGACCACAAGACAATGTCACTATGACACCCTTATTGAAATGGGAAAAAACTTTAAAACATTAACTTACTTTGAGGGTTCAAATCCCTTAGTAGATTGGTCAATGACTGCCTTGATTTTGTCGATTTCAGAAGCTGGAGCACCTGCAAGATCTGGGGTCTGTGGAGATGTGCAGGAAGAAGAAAATTAATGCTTTGTCCCTGTTGCCCTACACTCCTCAACACAAACTATTTCCTCATCTCAGAGACAGGACCCAAGAATTCAAAACTATAAAGCCCTCTCTACAAAGTATAGGCTGCCTCAGTTTGAGAGCAAAAAAAAAAATCATTCAATCAGAAACAATCTACTATTACTATAAAAGAAATTCTATTTCTCTTAGGATGACCTTTTCATTTACACAAAAAAAATAATCGCCCATCAATGGATTTGGACATCGGTACTTTAAAACCCCCCAGTTAAATTAGGCTGCTGTCTCACTGTATCAGAGTTAACCTGCAGTCATCAAATTCTGAAATTAAGCCTTTTTCTATTTGACATTTAACCTCTTATCTGATAGAAAAACATAATGGAAAATGTTCTTTTCTACTTTCCCTGTGAAAATCAGTGGTAGCAAGAAGAGTTTACAAAATGATACGCTTGTTATGACTTTTGGGCTCGGAGTGTAGGAGGCATCATGCACCTCACAAAACAAGACGCACTAACTAACTAAACATGCTAAAGTTTTGTGCACTGCTTGCAAACATTTCTGTGATATGATTCTAGTGAAGCAGCGATATACAAGTTACCTGTTTCAGCTTCTCCAAGGTCATCTGCCTCTCCTTCTCTTTCTGAAATGATTCAACAAATAAAATGGATCAAATATAAACATAAAGGAAAAAATATTCTGAATTGTCTGTGCGCAGACGACCACTTGCCAGCTGATCCACTTCAACCACACAAATGAAGTCGCCATGCTTTCTTCCCCAGTCCGTGAATCTTGACCAGTAGTCTCTTGAATTCACTGTCAAGATGTAAGCCGTTGTTTGTTCTGCGACAGTGACAAACAAAAGCTTGTTATAAGGCCATGTGATATTTTGTAGTGTCTCACTGCCTGCATTATAATCATTGCTGTGAAAGCTTTTTCATCTATATCGGGGACAATGCAGACAATTTGGGAGGTAGTCCGCTTTAACACATCCCAGTAAAAGGGGACACTCATTAAAAAATCCTTTCTCGTGAGCAGGGGGGTCGTATCTTTTGTGTGCACCATGAAGAGCGCATTATACCACAGACACCCGTCAGTTAAAGTAGTTCCCCACACTCAAAAGTTCTTTTTAAAAATTTTAATGTAGGCGTGGTCACGCCATTGACACAATTTAATTCACCTCAAAATTCAATATCATAAGAAGACCACAAGATAGCTGTCACAACAAAGAAGAACTTGTATCTTGTGTTTCAGACACCAAACACTACCAGAGCACACTGTTAAGTCTTTTTTCTACACTTTGTTTCTTATCATTAACTAGTTTCACCCACACATGCTAGTAGGAACTAAGAGCAGGCACACAGGGTTTTAGAATAAAAGCTAATGCCGATTTTACAAGTCAGGGACACTCCCCCCCCCCCCCCCTCATTCAAGCCTCAGTACAGAGTAGCACTTGACACTATAACAGTCAATATATGCTGGGAAAAAGTAGGAGACGACAGACAAAAACAAAAGATGGAAAGAAAAAAAGGAACAACCTATCCTTGGCACCTTCCACCCACCATCCCCTCTGCCCGTCGCTGATTCATTAAGATTTTAAATCTCTTGTACATGTAAGTGAACACAGAAAGTAAAACAATAGATAGACAGGGAAGGAGCACACAAGCAGGACCCACTGTTGGCACGGACCACTAAAGGTAAGTTGGAATACCTTTGTTGATCCATATCAACACATGCAGCTTTAGTATCTTCAACCCTCCTAGGCTTTAGACTTTAAAAAAAATCTTTTGGGGAGAGTTGGGGGAAGGTGGGGGACAACGTGAAGACAGATTGAAAAGTGTAGCAGACATGCTGATCCCAACTAAAGGGTCATTAAAGATAGTAAGAAGAACAATGAAATAGCATTATAAAACTCAATACATGCTTGAAAGACACGATGGGAGAACAGGTTGAAAATAAACGCAGCGTAAATATTCCCATGATTGATTCCGATATATTAACTGTCAGTAACGGTATCATTGGATGGGCAAAAAGTGGAACCTAACCATTAGAAAAACCAGCTATGCAAGGTGCTTAACTTACAGAAAAAGTAAGCACTGACGGACAAGATACAACTACGCGATACCAAAGAGTCTACATAACAAGAGCGGCCACTCCTCTCTTTGAGCCAATTAAAAAAAGTGTCCTCAAAATTCGGTGGCGCCCTCTTCGCAAATGTGCACCCTTTGCGAACAGAGTTACCCTACTTTTGTAAAAAAATCAAAGTGAAACTAACAAGTTTTTAAATAAATAAGAATTCAAAATTTCGGAAGACACTTTTTAAAAATAGTTACGCTGACAAAAAACCTTCTCCGGAGGAAGGGCGACTGTTTTCTTTGTTTTAATTTGACTTTAGAATGAGAGGCGAGAGGTCATTAAAAATATAAAAAAAATAAAACTCTGCACTGAACGAACCCGAACAGCTCATGAACAACAGTCGATCTGCGCACGCAAGGAGGTGCTATTCCTATTTTTCTTCTGGAAAAACGAAAGAGCTTCAAAACAGACTGCAGCGCCATCTGAAGCAAAGAGCGGACTTCCGGCTGACACTTTTTCGGCTGAGTGGACAATCTTGTTATGTACCATCTTTGGCGATACATCCTAATATTTATTGTTCCTACATCGTTCCACTTTCCGAGTCACCCAAGGCACGGAATATGTAACTATATTTTAAACAAATATAAAACCTGTATATATCAAATATTAAAAACCCACATTGGACCTTTCACATACCTCTATCAGCTGATGTAAAAGAGTTGTAGGAGAAGAAGTATGACTTACTTTTGCAGCAATAATGCTAAAAATAATTCTTTTGAACTCTTGTTTTATTCTACTTTTAAATAAAGGAATCAAGGGAATATGAATATATTAGCATACAAATTTCTTGTTGAACAGGCTCATCAAAGAGCAAGTTATAGAAGTGTTTAAGAGATTTTTTCAAAGTAAAAAAATATATTGCCACAGGTGAATGTAATGCCATTTACTGTGATGTAACAAAACGTTAACTCTGAGTGTTTGGCAGCAGTACCACCTGAGATCTCAAATAAATACCAATTTTTGTCATTAATGTTTGTATTTTAAAGAAGTTAATCATTTTTTATAGGGGTAATTATTGAATCTTGAAATAGTAGGCAGTTTTCCATTACATATATATTTAGAACGCTCGGCTACAAGCCTTAAATTGATTTCCCCATCAACCATGGCGTATAGGCAGTACGGAATAGCATGAGCATTTAGAATTTTCTTCTTTCATAGTAACCATCATTAGACGGATATATCACTTGAACCACCTCGACAGTGGTCTGAATTTGATCAAAAGAATGTTTTCAAAGGTATTTTAAGGGTTGAAAAGGCAAAAATACTTTGACAAGTGTTTTACTGTAGTACTGCTACTTTGAATTTTTAATGCCAAATTCATCTCAGTAGAAAAAAATCATGAGTAGTGATAGCTTAGTGTGTCAATGAATCGCCACAATAACACGATTTTCACTGAAACGGGCAAGTGACAATTTCTTACAAGAAAAGCAATATTAAGCTCAAATTGGGACTTGTCCTTTGTAAAAAGAAAGTACACCTAGTAAAGGAGATCTCAGATCTAATCACTTGAAAATATCATCCCTTAATATATCCAAAGACAGATTACTGCCCAACTTATTTGGCAAGGAGTTATATGTGGACTTTACTGAAACTACCACAGGTACTCCACATGAAATAGTTTGGAAAAGTAAGAAAGAAAGTGAGATGGAGAAGAATTTTGGGTGATTGAGCAAGGAAACGAAGCAAATTAAAAAGAAGGGAGACACCAAGTGAGAGGCTCAACCGACTTAATCGTCAAAGTCAACGAGAGATGAGTCGGACCAAAGAAAGATCCCAGAACAAGCATGAGTTTGCGACAATGGAGACGGTATGATCTACACGTGGCTATCCTAAGCAGGAGTACGCACCCCCCCCCCCCCAGCCCAATTAATTAAATAATCACCATAAAACCTTTGCCAAGGTTGCAGTAAAACCAAACTGCAAATCTAAAACTTGACAGTTGTCATGTAACTGTAACTAAAAGCTGGTGGGTCGACATCCAATTTTGCAGCACATTGTTAAACAAAATGTTAACACTGGTAGAGATGATAAACTCATTTGAATTGACCGTAAAAGTCTGCCTGCATGTGACAAAGGTCAACTAACGGATCAATGAGTATCAGAGGGAAAAACCATAACCACTATACATGTATAAACAACTGAACTCCTCATCCTAGATACATGACCAAAGTGCTCATAGCTAGTTTTTATAAAACTGTATCTAGAATCTCTGTATTAGCAACATATATCATCTGCACCCCTCTACCTCCCACAATCAAAATTCCCACAAGAGAGAAGAGATATTCCAGGTGCTCTTTATAGTTTCATGAACGACTGCAGCTTCAAAAGATCTACAATGTCCACATTCCTGGGACCTTCCGGGTATTTTAAACTAAGCATCTCTACGGTCTGTAAATTGAGCGCACATCTGGTCGTCAGATAGAGGTAAGCAGGAGGCTGGAATGCAAATATCATTTTTCTGACTGGGAACTCCACAACAGTAGCAGCATTACAAAATGAACACCCAAAAAAAAAGTGACTTGGTGAAATGAAAGTCGGTCGGTTGAGCTTTCTCCCATGCCAGAAAGTATTCACATTTCAGCGGGCCCTTTAAATACACCAACCAACAACTCCCACGAGATGATTAATTTAATTTGGTACTAGATTCTATACATAGTCAAATCTTATCCCGCGGCTATATGTATAAGACAGCTGTACAAACAACCACTTCCCCCTATTTGTTTTTTTTTCTTCTATTGTATAACGATACTGTCCAAGACGTCCACCTGTCTAAGTCAATCACTTTTCTCTTTGACAATGTTGACTATTTGATATATGTTACTTTCAATCGTATTTGAATCCATGAAAGATGGCAGTATGCAGACGCATTCAGGCATTGGCTTTAGAATAGAAAAAAAAGTGCTCTAAAAATCAAGTTCATTCACGGGTATGACCATGAGATTGACAGAGGAGGGCCAACAAAGGGCAATCTTTCACAAACTACAACACCTTTTATATCTCTTCAAAGGTGTCACTGCAAGTTCTCAGGTCATTGGGTGAGAACTTGAATTGTATCCCATGATTCATAACAATTCCTTGCTTTAATGTCTGTAAGCAAGCAAGTAAACCATAGGTTCATCTGGCTTTCTCCTTTGCAGACACTTGTCATCAAGCTATCAATATTTGCTTTTCCCCCATTTGCATGTGCACACAAGACCAACCCTTTTTTGTCCACAATATACAGTGACCCCCGCAGCACTGCAATTCCAAAGTTCATAATGGAATATTTAACAATAGCAAATTCTAACTGAAGCCTTCAAAATTAGGGAAAGGAACTAAGTTCTTGTAGCTGCGCAGTGTTTTAGCAGTCACGCAACATGAACCCTCACACACTTCTCAGTCAGTTGTCTCGATCACAATACAACACAACAAAGCCCCACAGAAGCCTAATACTGTAAAAGTCCAAGCAAATAAGTGTTGATATTATCATGAAAATGATTCCAAATGGAAAAAAATAAATCCAAACAG